GAGTTGGTCCAGATGAGCGGGGGGGGCGTGATGGAAGATGGGGGGCTGGTGCGATGGCGCAATGGTGCGAGGTGGGGCCGTGTGCGGGCGTGGTTGGTGATGCGGGGGATGGTGCGGTGCTGCGGGGTGGGGTCGTGGCGTGGTGCGGGATGGTGCGGGATGGTGCAGGATGGTGCGGGGTGGGGACGTGGCGTGGTAGAGGGGGGTGGAGGGTAGAGGTAGAGGGGGTGGAGGGGGACGGGGGGATGGTGCGGTCGTGCGGTACCCCTTGTGGTGCAAGATCGATGCCTCCGTTTACTGATGCCTATCGTGTCTCTACGTTATAAGGGAATGGGAGGGATCAGTGAGGCGGCGGTGAATAAAGATTATCTAATTGCGGTGTCATGCGTGTGCTACGTGTGCACGTATGGCTCTCATGACACTTCTGGGTAGTGCGGGGTAGGGGCGTGGTGGTCGGAAATTTGGAACGGCGTCGGGCGGCTTCTATTTGAAAAGTACTGCAAATACTGCATGCGACTACTGGGGGACTGTAGTGGCCACTGTAGTAGCTTATTTTCGGTGTTTTTTTGGGGGGTGAGGGGGGTGAGGGGTGCTGCTTGTGGTGTGCGGGTTTACCCCCCAAGATGGGGCAACTACGAGGGGGATTGTCGAGGGTAAGCTCCGTGGCACGCGGACGCTTCTGCGCCATTTATTTTGAACTTTAGTATGGACAAGTTGGACTAACCAGATCGCAGTACTGTAATGCCGCTATAGCAAACTTTTCTGTTGGGCCAAAGTTGGGCGCCCCCCCCAAAATGAGCTGCAATCGACGTGGTGGGGCCCCCGTCATCTGATTGGCTACATGATGCCAGCAAGGTGGGGCACCCCTCTCTGGTTCATCACGTATGAAACCAATTAGTATGATATGCACCCAATTTACCGTGCGGTAGAATGTCGCCTCGCCAAAGTTTGACACCACTGGTGTCGGTTTGACCGTCAAACCGACACCAAGGTCATTTCGGCTGTAATGCTGTAAGAGGGGTAGATCTCTGGGGAAGAGGCATGTGTTTTCTGATATCGACACGTGTACTGAGCTCTGCTTTTATGATACTCTTCGGCACGTGAGGAGGCCCTTCTCATGTTATAAGTGACACATGTGAGCAAAAGCAAAGACAGTGAGATTGATTGCGTGATATATTACATTCTGTTGTCGGAGTGTGCCGAAATAGAACCAAATAGCACCAGAAAGGGATGCTATCCGAAATGGAACCAGATGGCACCTAGATGCCACACGGAGTGGTAGTACATTGAAAT